TCTTACCCAACTTGACACGCTTCGTTACCTCTTGTGTTTATTTGTGTCTTAGGTTAGTGCAGAGCACACATCCACGCCCCTTATTTTCTTTGGGAAGTGACTAGCACTTTTGGGTGCTACCAGAAGTGCATAATGAAATAACAACCGTAATTAATAATCAAACTGCCTTTTTATACACTTTTGAAGCATCTTACTTTATGAAAAGCGTTCTAAAAAGTTTTGCCAATATGAAAAATGATGTAGGAAAGGAAAAGTTGTCCCTAAAGGGAGATCATTAGTCTTTTCTTCCTTTTGCTGATAGCATCGTCATAGAAACACCAGAAAAGAAAGAACAATCCATTAACTTCACTTGGATTTATTGAGTTGCTTGTTCACTGCCACCATTCACCATAAAAATGGAATAGATGCATCTCAGTCTAGAAGAACGATGTAATAAAACATCTTCTGCAAAGCATTTTAATAATACTACAGTCATATTTGCTATGTAAATATTCACTAAAACCCAAAGATGAGTAAGATATGAAAGTAGAAATACTATCTAAGAAGACATTTTAACTATTTTAAAAGTTATTAAAATTCTCTTAAAGTTCCTAGATTTGGAATATACAATACAATTAGAGCAATTTAAATATAGACAATGTTAGAAAGGGAACAGCATAAGAGTAATCAAAAAAGAACCTATCGTAGATTTTCAACACTGAGGCATGAGTCAGTCCTGAATGTTAAGCCACCTTTCATGATTATGCTCCTGATTCAGGCTATTGCAAAATATACGTCTATCAATAAAGGCACTTAAGGAATAGAGTGTGTGTTTGCTTAAAGCTAGGCCTGTCCCTTAAATACGTTTTCAAGCTTATTTTGATGGCATTCTCTAAAGTTTGTAACTCTTTTACTAAGGCTCTTTGAAGATGAGACTGCATTGTTGAAGCTGTTTCAAACAGTTTCTAATCCTGTTGTGCTAGACCCAAAAGATCTTTAAAGAATATGGATAAAGTGATGGTGAATCCTACTGTTCCCGGTACTCCTATGACTGAACTCTGTTAAATGGTCTTATATCGGGAATCAACGCAGATTACATATCCTATTTCTGTAAACTGTCAAGGTCATTAAACTGCTTTGCTCGTCTTTGCTGGCCATTAGAAATCTCAACACTTCCAGTTAATTCTTCACATTTTTGCCTTAATACAGAATTGAACGTGAAATCAGGTACTAGGTGAGAAATTCTCTGTATCACAAACCTATACGACATGAGCAAAGACATCTAAAATAGAGTAACTTCCTAGCTTTTCAGTTACGACGATCTAACCTAAAACACCGTCCTGCAGCTCGTTCATTTTAGAACCTGCTTTTGCATAAAGCTGATAATATTTTATACTGCAGGTCTGGATAATTACAAAGCTGCAGAGGGAGCTTTTCTTTAGAATTATATCACATACTTCTTCTAGTAGTAAAATGACAGAAATAAATGAGGACTAGTATAGCTTTGACAGGGCAAGAAAAGGACTATCAAAACTAAGACTAAATACTTTTTTACCTGCCAAAACCACAACATTCTAAATAAGCAGAGAATTGAGTATCAATAAGCAATTATTTGTTTGAAATATAAAGTATCAAGCAGTAGAAAATATATAATTCCAGAATATTTCTACACAAACAATAAATTAAAATGAGACATTTTAACTAGATATAAGGAAAATCTTTTACCGTTAGGACAGTCAAGCATTGGAACACGTTGCCTAGAGAAGTCGTGCAGTCCCCCGTTTTTAAAGACTAAGCTGGATAAAGCCCTGAGCAGCCTGGTGGCACCTGAGCTGACCCTACTGCTTTGAGCACCAGGTTGCACTAGAGGCCTTCAGGTTCCACCCTGAATTATTCAGTGGTTCTGTGACTTCCATTCTACAAATACTTTTTAAGCAAACAGGAAAACTCACAGGCGCACCAACTAATGCTCTAGAGGAGAGACGTTTCAGACAAGCAGGGAACAGAAATAGAAAAGTACACGAGGGAGTAAACCAGCTGACATAAAGCAAAAGAAATTTTTTTTTTTTAATGATCACCTCTTTAACGCTAAAAAGGCAGTAAGTATCAAGCAATATTCTCAGATAAAAGATTAAGAATTAGAGAAAAAAGATTTGTATGCTAGTAAATAATATATAATAGCTAGTAAATAATACATTATAGACCACGAACCACTTCAAACATATTGCACAGGGAGGTTAGTGCATAAAGACAGAGATAGCAAAGAGGGAAGGGATTCTCTATATTATTTTAACAAGCATGTAGCTCCTCGCACTGCAGTGCTCCTCACAAATAACTAAAAGACAGCGGGGACCTTGGAGAGAAAACATGAGGTTGGCAAAAAGAGCTCTGGAAAAACTGAAGGCTAGCATTTATTACTGAATCACAAAAGAGGTTTTAAGCTCTAGCATAAAAGAAATAAAATAAGAAGTTCTGAATAATAGATCCAGGTGTTCATATATGGACTCAAGAATAATTCAGAAAATTTAACATTACAGACTTTTGGTAAGGAAAAAAAAGGTACCATCAACAGCAGAAGTAATAGCGATACCAAAATAATCAGGGAATAAGAGATGGCTGCAAACAGAGGCGTGCCAAACAATGAAAAATAAAAGGAAAAACACCTAAAGGAAGTAAATAGCTAAAAAGCTATTCTTTCAAGAGCAGTGACACAAGAGTAAGGACAGCGAGGGACAGAGTCCTTTGAACAGCAGAAGACCTTGCAAGCAGGTCTATCGGCACAGCTGGGCTATCAACACAAGCATCAATATTTTTTCGAACACCAAGAGCAAAAGAATGAAGGATAAGATGAAGATATCAAAGAGATTCAGCAAGCAATAAAGATGACAAAAGGATAAATGAAACGATTGTGGTACAAACCTTTATACTGTAAAGAATAAGGAGTATAGAATGGGAGTAACGTTACATCATGTGACGTATTTATGAGAAGATAATTCCAAGACAAGGGAATCATATACTGGTATTTTTGTGATTTTTTATTAGCCTACTTTATTGAGAGAAGAAACTCTACAAATTTAAATCGAAGCTTTAATTTATAAAAGAATTGGGAAAACTGAGCATATTTTGGGGGGCGGGGGCAGGGAATGGGCTTCTTAAAAATGGAACTGTTTCCCCACCACATTCTCCACAGTACCAAAAAGGGGAACAGACTACGTCCCCATTTTTGCTGCACGGGTGAGATGGTAAACTAGCACCACCAGAATCCAGGAACACAGGCTAGACGTGCAGCAAGGTATGTGGAGCACATTTCAGTCCTAAATTCACAAGGCAGTTTGTCACAATAAGAGTTACAGCCGCAAACTTAAAGGTGATTCTGAATTTTCTTTGCACAAGGACTGTTAGGTCCTCACTGCACACGAACGAGCAGACTGAACGGGTTGATTACTGAACGATTCATGACCTACAGCTGCTAAATCCAATCCATAAAGGTATTGAGGCAATGAAATGATAAAAATAGCTGATACATGAATACTACCAAGTCCTAAAGAATAGAGAAAAAATTACAAATCACTTGAAAAAGCAAGCCAACGGCATTGCATTACTCACCCCTTGAGCAGAGCAACACCTGCCACAACAGTTGAATAAAGCAGCATCGATGACAAGGCATGCATTTTAATTGCCTTTCAGATGTCCTCTATCCACACCAATTGCATCACAGTCAATTAAGAAACTTTGACCCAATACTGAGAAGTAAGATATTGCCCTTCCAGCGTAGTTCTCGCAAATCACTAGTCGTATTTGGCAAACCATTCATAAGTAATAGAATTGCCATATTTTTGTTGAGGTTTTTATGAGATAATCTAGTCTTACTGGAGCAAAATCTTGAGTAGAACATGTAGCTTAAAATAAGTAATCTTGGGAAAAACACATGAATAGCTAGTTAACTTCAAAGAAACAGCATAACTTAAGACAAGTACATCCACCTTTTCTCTCCAGTTCACCCTTAAGTCACTTCTTGGAATAAATTAATTTAAAATGGCTTAATTTGTTTCTATAGTATTTTTATAGGAGTCACTCACCTTTTCCCACTAATGGTCAGCCATCTTATGTCAAGACAAGATTCACTACTAATTGAAAGAATGAGATACTCTGGTACTACCCTACCTTGAAAAGAGACTCTCCATCAGGCAAGAGAAACTTTAAAAGCACACTAGAGAGATTTGCAAGAAAAAAAAAAACCTGAAATAAAATGTTTACTTGTTTTGGTGATTTTCTCTTCATCATTCATTAAATGAACAGTTAACTGAGGACACTTTCTTGTTTTTGTCTTAAGCACATTACCCAAAGTACAGAAGCATAAAGAAACTTCATGCAGCAAAATTAGCAGGAGTCACACTGCTATTCTCACTGAGGCAGGTTATTAATTTGAATTTAATACAGTCTTATTTTTTTTATGGTACACATTCTAACACAATGCACTATGCAACTATTTATAGCTCAACAATTTTAAAGGTTTACCCTCTAAGTCTACTGTAATATAAAAAATTTCCAGCACAGCTGGCTTTATATTCAGTGCACAGACTCTACCTTACAGACTCAAAGAAAAACGTGGCACAAAAGACAGCTAAACTTTTCTTATCAGAAGCAAACTGCCCTTATCCTGAAAACAAATTTAAATTAGTTGAATGAGAGTAATGAGCACAGCGTGGAATAAATACAGAAAATGAAGTAGCTGGTATTTTTTCATTAATATCCCATGCAAGTGTATATTATAGTGATAAATACATATTTCTGTTTTTCTAAAGCTGATTAACTGTATTAACAGTGCTGTCTTCATTTTCTGAGCATTCATATTTTATGAGCTGGGCAAGTTAGTGTATATTGCAACTCCCATTTTTCAAATGCTGTATCACTTCTGGATACAAGAGGGGACATTACCATTATAAACAAGTAAAACTTCAGTGCGTGCGTGTCACACTCCCCATTAAAGCTAAACAGAGCAGTTGTGATACTTACAACTGGTTCGTAGTTACTCCTGTAAACAGCAACACACACTTAAATAGAGTAAGTTACATTGGTCAGTACATTTATGAAACTAATGGAAAAGGAAAGTCTGCAGGGGTGTAAAAAAAAAGAAAAGAATGAGGTGGGTACAAAAGAGAAAAGGCAGGGAGAAGAAGAATGAAAGTTCAAGAGAGGAAAGGAAGATACTCCTAGCTTTGCACAATTACACAAAATTACTCATACAGGCTAGGTTTTGTAACTACTGTTGAGGGATTTATCTGTTTTTCAGTTTTAGCTGATTTGGAGCCAATCAGGAAAAGGACAAGCTCACTTCATATGTGAATCCAGCCACACACTTGATCTTCATTTCAAGTTCTGTAGATTATATTAGAAATAAAGGAAATTATATTGAAATAGCCATTGACTTCCCTGTGTTTTAGGCAGAAATCACGAGCAAGACAAAAGTAACTCTTATGAAGTTCAACATCGCAATTCGCAAAATTTCCAGTCAACTAACACTCTGAAAACACCCGAACTCTTTGTAGGCATCCATTTTAAATAGTCTTGGCTTGCACAGAGATACTTAAGCCCTTACAGCACTGAAGAACTTGGTGCTTATCCCATGCCACAGTGGACCGGCAAGAAGGCTGCAAATGCAGCCGGCCACCGCACAGGACGGAGGTAAGGCTCAGGCAGGGCAGCGTTCGGCACTGCAGTATGGAAGTTCTTCAGCCGATTTAACTCCATGTTCCTTTCATGACTTAAAAGCTTGTACTTTTGGAGACGAAGGTCATTATTTCAATGACGGAAGGAAACAACTTACAGTCCTAGCCATTAACAGCAACGTGCAGGAAACTACTAATAGAAGTATTAATGCTCTTAATTGCAAATAAACTTTTCTCTCACTTTCATCTCCTCTACAAACTGCTTGGTCTAATTCATTTTGTCCAGCTCTTCTCTACCTGTTATTTTGCGTGGATTTTTTCTTTTTCTGGTATTTCACTGTCAAATAGTGAAGACCCAAAATTGTTAAATTGTTTCAGTTAATTCTGCTGAGAACTTCAACACTGTCACATTTTATGCTCCTCCATTACCAGGTTATTATTTTGTATTTCCATTTTGATTTTCCTTTCTATTGGAATGCGAAATGCAAAATTACCAAAAGACCTGAAAGAATAACCACAGAGTAATATTATTACTACAATAGAGTTTACTTGCTAATGTAGGCACAGAGCGGTACATAATTAACTTATCACAAAAATAAAAAAGGATCATATTAATTCATATGAGAATTACTGGGTAACTGATACAATAAATATAACCACAGTGACTAAACTACACGGACATGATCCAAATGGTGTTTGAAAATTCTGAACCCGTACTAAATGAAAATACCTCATGGTGATTAATGTTACCATTGAAAGATGAAAAGTCAGCACTGCTAAACAAAAAAGCTCGTCTGTCATCTGCATGCAACAGTTTGCAATTCTGTCATTATTTAAGCTGTTAAGAGTTGAGCATACAAGAGCAATACCTGCACACTAATACACACTACTTGTTTTTTCCCCCTCCTTTTCTGCTGCTCAGGCGTGTTTCCAAGATAACTGTTGGGCTGTCTAGTCAGAAGCAAATACTGACAGATACCCTGGGTAACTGGACTAACAGCGATTTTCAGCACAGACAGGGTAGTTTTGAAATGGGGATAAACTGATGCTGATGGGGACGGGGAATGGGATCATGAGACAATTTTCACTTATCATAAAAATTAACTTTATTAAAAACTATCAGCCAGAGTAGGAATAATATCTCTGCACTTCTCCCCGTGCCAATATCCTACAGCTCCTGCAAAAGAAAAGAGAAGAAAAGAAAGTACATGAAAATATAATTTAGTGCTTCACATAGCGCCTTGTCAATTTTTCCACACTGCTTACCCTTCTCCTCTGCTTCCAGCAATTACTGGCAGGACACTGTCTCTACTCATTCTAGGCACAGAGGACACAGAAAGATTTAGTTTGCTGTCAGAAACATCAATTTTTCTATACAACCATAATATACATTACAAGCACACCACTGTCATGGAACATTTATTGTGATACTTACCTTCTGCTTTCCGAATCCTTGCATCATTTACTGGATGAGACTTGACATCTACGTAACACCTCCAAGCAGGAAAAGGACAAAGTAACACTGATTCACCGTGGCTGCGTAAACAGGGCACAGCTCTGGCATTTGGAGCCTCTTCTCCTGTAGCAAGATAACTTCAGTACACAGTAAACAACCTTCTGCTAATAAAAGCCCCCACCCTAGTAGCCTAACAATGGATTCCAAGTTCTCATGGGCATGTCCAGACTGTACTTACTACTTTGAAGCCTCCTCCCAGGTCCTCTCTCAACTGGAAATAAAAAGTCTCACTGGCAAGCCTTGTGGCAGCTGTCTCTACCATCACCTTTGACATGCAGATCTTGCCTGTGTCCTGCTAGGCTTGTTTCAGTAGCGTACAATATACACAAGTCACTGTCTACATATTTTTGCATCTGGTTAAACCGCGACTGAGCCCAAACAAGGCCAAGAGTAAAATCTCAACACTGCAAGTCATCTAATTGCATTAGCATACCCTTGTGGTGTCAGTTTTAACAATTCCTCAAGCTCAGCGAAGCATTTACCTAAATACCACATTCAAAATGCAGGTTATGAGACTGACTGGGTATAAGGTCACATTTAAATACACAGCTGTCTGTTCAGTGTTGGTGCCATCCAATTACCTGCACGTCATGATAAAAAGTGTTTATCTCTGAGACACACCAGCCATGCAGGAACCTAGGGCACACGCCTAATCCCAAACCAGAACGTACACATAATTTGTATACATAGAGACATAATACAGCAAAAACCCCTCTGTATGCAGATGAGATGCTGTGTCCTCGGTTGAAATCCGGCCTCGAAGCACACATCCCTTCTCCCCGAGGTGACAAGTACAGCACAATTGCTCTTGAAACCAGCACCATGCAGGAGAGGTTTGTACCCGGCACTAGGAGTTACCTGGAAACTTACCTGGAGGCTCGTACACAATATCCATTTTTAAGGCTTCACAAATTCTCTTTCCTAATCCACAGATAACACTTTGACTTTACTAGTGGCCCCCGATCAGCACGTCGCGACACACAGCACACATTCACATAGAAAGTGACAGGCTAATGGTTATACGTAGCATTACCGCTGACATACACCCACTCTTACAGACTGACACCCCGCTTAACGCAACCAGCGCCTCCTCCCAACGCAGCCCCCGGCAAAACAGAGAAACCCCGACCAATTCTGGCTTTCTAAACTTGTCGGTATACTGTGTGATCAATTTTTTTTTTTTAGTTTCCATAAGTTTCATCACAAATGATTAGTAGCTTCAGTTAGAGAAAGCAGAAGAAACCAAACACAGAGGAAGGTCACCAGGGTAAGTTACATATATTAAAATATTATTTTATCCATTTTATCCACACAGTTCACAGCATTGCTGTTTTGATAAAGCACTACAGGCTATTAACAGCACACTTAAGTTAACCATGTGGTAAATCTTAGTCTTGCCTTTTAAAAATAATGCAAGTTAACCCAACCCAGTTCATTGCCAATACAGAAAATGGCAGATAAATTGGAAAAATGACATACTGAGAAAGGTACAGATGGTAGTGCCAAACCAAGATGGTAGCTAGGTCACTAAACCTCTAGGGATAAATCTTGCCCTCCCACTAAACCAAAACCAAACCATATCCCCCAAACTGAGCCAAGATGTTGTAAGGCAGCCTGCAACATGTTCACCAGATGCATGTTGACTTTCATTTAAGAGGTACGTTTTCCTAAACGGGTACAACCACTGGCAGAGCTTCCTCCAGCCCCTGAGGAACCTCTGCTTCATCCCTTACTCTTATACCACACAGACAACAGCTGTTTCTCTAAAACTCTCTCTTCTGGTGCTCATGTCTCTTTTCTCTAGAGGTGATAAATGACTCTTCTTCCCATCTAATCCCATGGAAAGTGCTGAAGATCTAAAGCCATTTCATGCCTCGGGATACTACTGTTATTTCACAGCATACTTAAAAAGGACAGGTATTTCACAAAGCAAACAGAAAGGCAAGGTCCCAAGAGCAAAGCCTTTACGAAATTTGAAAAGGCAAAATCAGAAGGCGGCAATGAAAAGTTGGGGCAGGATGAACAAAAGGATTCAAGGAGCGATGACAACAATGGTAGCAAACATTACAAGTATCAATGCCTATCGGAATAGCCCCTCTTAGTTCTTCAGGAATTTACTGAAGGAGTACAGAGGAAATATTTTAAATGCTTATGATTAACAACAATGTAATTATTAGACAGATATGCTTTGATAGTACTGGGGGATGATTGTGATCAGAATCTCTAATAATAGTTTTTGTGTAAACAGGAGCATGAAAATAGTCAGTGTGCCATATTACCAGAAAAAGGATCTACCTGCTTTATACTTTAAAAAAGGAATGCAGGGAAAACTGAACTTTATTTTTTAAACATATGCCCTTTAGAACACGTCCATTCTTTGCTCATGTAACTGAACATTCATCCTCTCCTCCTCCAGCGAGGGCAGGAGCTTTACAGGGTTCTATAACAGATAAGAGCTGCTAAATGGTAACTAAGGCTGGACCATCCACGCAAACACTGGTTATTTGTTTTCATTGTCTGTTTGCTGCTACAAGACGTTGAGTTTCAGAGGACAGCTCACCAGCTGCACATGTTGTGAGCTGTGCAGGAACTAACGAACTTTGCCTTTTTATTTCTTCACAAACAGGAAAAATACTGAATTCTTGCAGTCTTGCTTATGCTGCCCATCAGCAAAACCAACTTTTGCGGTTTGGAAAAAATCAAAATGCATCTGTCACAGTGCATGACACAAGGTCACAGAGTCAATTTAGTTACCTGGATCATGTGTTGCCAGAGTCTTAGGCATACAACTGTCTTATCGCAATGAGGAGGCAGTGAGAATCAGCACAGTGAAAATAAAGCATACACCATCTTCTCCAATATTAACAACTGCTCAGAGTACAAAAAACTGAATACATTTCACATTGTAGTCGTTGCAAGGAGATACATAAATTTTAATAGGATCCCGTTCTTGAGTTACTTTATTGCTCTGCTCAATTAAATGTTATTTAATGATTCACCACTTACAAGGGTATTATATATCATTCTTACTCCGCTGACGTCAGTGACGCTTCTGCTGATTTTTCCAGAAAAGATAACTAGTTCTAAGGAAAAATATTTATCTCCTGCATAAGGCCTAAGTATCAGCAAGTTAAAAGTAGTGACTAAATATAGCAAGCGCTATATTATTTTTGCAATTCACGCATGGGGAGATTCAGGTTAGCACATCTTAATTGTTTACAGCATTGATATTGATATTGGTTTAACAGCCTAAGGATGAGGACTATTTCATGTAATTACCGTGTTTCCATCATAACTGTAGCGACCTGCCTGCTGCACTTTCTTGGGGCATTTTATTTTCCACTGTATCCATCGTACATTACTGCTACAGAACAAAAGATGAAGATTCTGGATCATCAGATTAGGCGGTGTGGGTGAATTGCTGAAATGGTCATGTTTGTTCATGTATCGTAGCAGGTTATTCCGATACTCACTCACCTTCACGTTTCATCCCTTAACACACCTTAACTCTACTCATTCTCAGTGTGTAGGAAAGGAGTAAAACTGACGACTCCTTGTCTCGGGCACTGACTCTTTGCCCAGAACGCTTATTTCCAAAGATCACTCTCAGGCTTTTGCATCTCCTTGTATCTGGCAGTTAAAGCAACGATTTCACTCTGCAGCTGGGACCACGTGCACGAGGCCAGTCTCCACAACTCAGCTTTCAACTGCTACCTGTTGCACCAAAGTAACCTGATCAGCCATGGTGGCTATCAGAGATACTTGGCTTCATCATCAAATTTTCCATCAGACAAAAATAAACCATTCAGCCCTGAAGTGCAGTTAACCACTTCAGTCAAAAAATGATAATAAGCTGTAGATACTCATATATCCCCATGCTACCTAATGCTAACAATACATCACTTAGTTTTCGCATTGAATAAAAGCTGCTTCTTTCAATTTCTCTGGTTTTTTTTTACAAACTTGCTGCCTCACATGAGCATTACCGACAGCCAGCCTGCTTTCAATTGACATGAAACAGTTAATACGAGTAGATTTCCAGTTTGTAGGAACATTGTGATAATATTTATTTACCTTTGTGTTGGAAATTTAAATAAAATTGCATGCAACATCATCGGTGAGACACTTTGGGAATCGTGCAGACATGTGCACCAACCCAGACCACGCGCATTGCACTCCTGCGTGAGCTGTACGTCTTCCCAAGCACCGCGGTGCTCTCTTACGAGGAACCGGGGAGCACAGGCAAGGAGGCAGCAAAGTCTGCACCCTCTTGCAAGGAAACAATAGTTTCTGTGTTACACACTACTGAAAAAGATTCCCCAGAGAGCTGAGGAATCTAAATGCAGAAAGCCTGACAAAAATTACTGTAACTGAGAACCTAAGGCACAGGGAGATTAAAAAACCTTGCCCAAAGCCTTTCCAAAGCGGAAGATCACATCAGAGATGGAAATTGAATCTGGCTCTCACGAGTGAGTATCAAACACAAGACTCGGGTTTGTTTTTTTCCTTTGAGGTACTAGAATGTGTAAAGCATTTCCTTATCGCCAGAAATGTCATAAAGCTTGGCCACTCTGATGACAATACTTAAATGCATACTTTTAAGGACATAGTGTCCCTTGAACACATACTTGGCTTTCATTTAATTCAAGAGAAGCTGCACATGCATACATCAGAACCGTACATTAATTGGTACATTTGCAACATTTTAAAACAGATATGCCACATTAATATGCCTGCATTTATCTCTGCTATCCATACAAAGAAACAGACACTGCAAACCAAAGCCAGCAACAATATGAAAGTATCGGGTATTCATGTTTGGGAATGCGCAATATTGAATATTGTATCTTGACAATATCCAAAAGGGGAAAGGGATGCGAGAACATGAGCGAGGTTAACACAACAGTCAGTGTGGTGGATAAACTGAATGCATAACTCTTGTTCAGTAAGTCCTGCACGTGAGAGCTAAGGATCTGGTAGGAAGCGGATTTCAACAGGTAATGGAAAAGCAACGTACACAGCCTCTAACTACTGAGCTCTGGAACTGGCTACCACAGGAGCTTGTGGGGGAAGACAGTATCGGCTGGTTCACAAAACGATACACAAATCCATGGACAACAGATCCCTAACAGGACAGTAAAAGGACTGGGCAGGTATATACACTCCAGTGCTTCTTGAGGGTCTAGCAAAAAAACCCCCATGGCTACACTCATCTACTTTCCTTGGCAAATATACACTAAGCTAGATGTGCAGTTAGTGTACATTTCATCTGTCCCCTGGGGCACCTCTATAGACAGATGTTCCTATCTACATGAGATTTTAGCTTTACCTACTGTGGAAGGAGTTCAACCCTCCCTGGGAATCCAGGCTTACAGGGTTTTCAAGCAAAATTTCTGGAAGATGATGATGGAAATGGAATTCCTAAGGCAACTGAGCCCACACGTGCAATGAAAACATTAGAAGGAGCGTGCCCTGGATCACGTACAACCAAGGCTAACCTCTGCAGCATCTATACATTGTTATTTTTCATAACTGGAAAATACTCTTCCCACTAATTGCAATTATTTTCTACAGTACAGAAGTAAACTCATGGGAGAGGCTTTGCATGAGTGACCCTAACTTGATGAGTATATTGTCACCTAACCTCTCTGTATACATGGTGGGGATTTGTACTTTGCTATATGTGCAGTAATGATTCCATATGTGCTTACACTTCCTAAGTAATTCTTCAAGAAGATCAGAGGAGCCTTTAAGAAGCACAAACATTTCACTTTTGCATACGATTCTGGAACTTGCTTTTTTCTAGCCCACAGAAAACCACCTCAAGCCTCATTTTAGACTTCTGTCATAATATTTGCAGGCTCGAGACACAAGATTTCATTAATTCCTATACCATCAAGCTCTGTTCCAATATTAAATAAGACAATCAGAAAGCTACTCATATGAGAAGACTACTCTGAGCCAAGACTTCAGGGCTTGGCTTTATTTCAAGCCTTAAAGCGATGTCTTAAAAAAAAAAAAGAGGAAACTAAAATGCTCAAAATAAAGTAAATCAGCTTTGCCTCCTGGGTAACAGTTTCCTGCTTCCTATGGAAAAGCTCACTCTAAGAATCCTGTATATATTCCTATCCTGTTTCTTTTATGTATATGCTTGTCCTTCAACTCGTATGGCTCAAGATTGCTGCTTACAAGTTAATTTAAGCAGTAAACTGGGATATATGCAGAGCCTTTGAAGCAACCATTTCCCAGTTGTGCTTGCCCACTAAGTCTGTGAAAACACTCGCATCAATTCCACTGGTACTTTTAAAGTTTCATGTAAAGTGAAACACTAAACTTCTGGAGATCACAGAATAGTTCTCTAGAGAGAACTCTTCTCTAGAGAGAAGACAGTTCTCTAGGTATGCCAGACAAGTCCAAAAGCAGTAGGAAAAAATCCCTCAACCTGCTGGTATCCTCTTGCTAATGCAGCCTGCCACGCAGTTAACACTCATCACCATACTGGTTTCATGACAACTTACACTCAGCTTGTCAACAAAATCCCCATATCACCACTTACAATCACTAGGCTATCATGTTTTTATTTTTAAAATCCAAAAAAATTAAGTAAAACTCAAAATGGGGAAAGGACACATTAAAAGTAATTTTTTTATGACTTCGATATGAATTTGCAAGCTTTTTATTATAGTGTTTTCAGTCATATTTAATGGTTTATGCAAGCTAGTTTTACACAAATGATGCACCAGTCCACTAACTCTGCTAAGGACAAACCTCGGCTTCCTCGAGGAAATTACCTATACTCTCTGCAGATCACCAGCTGAGAGCTGAAGCGGTGACCTGCTAAGCCTGTCAGTCCCTCAGGCTATGAATACATTACAGGGCAGCAACTGAGTCAACAGAACATTGTCTTTTCCTTTCCAAAATTGTAAGAAGCAATTATTCACTCCTGCTTTAGCTTTTTCCTAACCTGAAGTTAACTTATTTGTCCCTTTTCTTAAAAGTATTCCTCTGTCTTGTCTGTTAAAAGCTAATGAAATGGTTCTTATTAAACCTAGTTACCTTTAACATTGTAATCAACACTAAATTCTGAAAAAAAAAAAAAAAGTCTAATTTAAAATTTACTTTCCTTTACCTGAAGATAGGCATTAACTCTTTCCTAAAGTCTCATATAAAATATTATTCCTCAAATGTCATGGTATGTCCATACAATCTTTATATTATGTTTCACTAAACACCAATAAAATACTAAAACATCAATATGTAGTTTTTAAGCCCCCTAGCAGTGGACAAGAGAAAAATCAGATCTGCATATAATTTCAAATGTAATTGGTAAATATAACAGGAGCCCCATCCAAAATCCACCGATGGAGGTCATGGGAGTCTTCCCATTAACTTCCACGTGCTTTGGGATAAGGCACCAAGATAAACATGAGCAAGTGAAAGGAAGAGAAATGAAAACTTACCCATGAATTCAATTCCTAAATGGTCTGCTGTACCCAAGAAAGCATGTAAAAGAAAAAAGAAAAAAGAGACGGAAATGTTAGAAATAGACTAAAACGTACGTATCGCCTTTATCGTCACTGGCAGCATTCAATATTCACACGGCAGAGCTGCAGAACACAATGCGGGGTCAGGGGCCCACTGTGTGGGTACTGGTCAGAAAGAAAAGCAGAACCCAGCCCTTCGAAGGGCAATCCCACGACGGGAATTTAGGGCACTGAGCTGTCCCAGAAGAGAAGTGTATTTGGGGAAGGACATGAACGCCTTTACTCATTATATTTATATTCGACCGAAGGGCCTCAAGCCAGCTACCTACAGGAATTTCATTTTCTCTTCCTCCTGAAACTCCTCCCTCGACATGCTAACTATTGTCATTACTTAGACAAGGTTCTGGCTTTCATTTTCTCTGACAGACAGCAAAACCTAGAGAGATGAATGGAAGGCTCTTCCTGAGTTTTGCAGCTCTCGCTGCAGCAGAGCGGCCACGCTTGCACCCAGCGTGATTGCACAACTGCTATCTGTTGTGTAACGGAAAATCTGACTTCGGGAAAGAGTAGCCATGTTCCCTACTTAGCCATCTGACTGACACGATGCAATAATTTCAAGACATTTAGAACTGAAGCAAAAATTTTAATGTTTTTAGAGTATCGACTGAATTTACCGCATGGAGTTCAAAACATTTCAGGACCCTTTTTTCACATGACAAATTGGGATATGATATGTCTCTAACAGACAGGTGTTTTAGTGCAAAGTAGATTTAAATTTACATAAAACACTTACTATTTTTAAGTTGATAGGAGTTATGTTTAAGTTGATCTACAATTAAAGAATAACAAAACTCTCCATCCTGCAGGGACAGGCCAACAGAAACAATGATAACTGACTTTTCAGAACTTAGTGTGTAAGGAGTAGTAGCTTCAAGTCCAGACTGAAAGTCTGGAAGGCCAGACGTTCACAAAGGCTGCAAAATGCAATTCTCTCCTGCACTAGGCTCGAAATATTTTGCTTTTCGATAAGAGGTAATAATTTGCATTGTAAAGAACAAAGCAGGATTGCTTTCTGAGGAAAATGCAATATTTTCCTTCAAAATATAATAAAAGCAAAATATTTTAATTGCGTTTGTCTTCCTTTCAATTCATAGTCACATTTCCTTAATACAGACCAGATTTTGCCAAAGTTTCCAAGAGCAGTGTGTGCGGAGAGGAAGGCAGTAGGGAAAGAGCAGGAGGGTTACGGGAAAGACAGAGCAAGACTGACGTGTTGGCTCGCGCTTGGAGCGGGAAGGTACTACTGGGAGCTGTGTGAGACGCTCGGTCCCATTAACTAACGGACTGCAACTTTCAGAAGTGGAAACTTAAGAGCTACACAGCAAAGTTAAAAGAAGATTTTCCAATATAAACCAACAGTAATTTTAAATACTTTTTCATATGACTTGTCAGCTCTGGTACCTGTGACGAGAATGTGAAATATTTGGGTTTCTGTTGAAAATACTGGGAGTGATTCACCTTTCGCAACCCTTCATTCAATCCTTCCAGGAGAAGGCATCGAGCATCAGCTTGCTCAGTTCACTTAGCATACAAATCTAGATAATAGTTGCTAAACGCCGTATTTATCTTCGCGCTTAAGACACAATATGCGTCTCAAAAGAAAAGAAGGTAAGATGAGGCTGTGTGGTATAAATACCTTATTAGCATGGTGTCAGGACAGGCGCAAGTCTAAGTGACACCCAAATGAATCTTTCTTTTTGGTATAAAATACACAACTCAACACCATACATATATGTATTCTACATTGCAATCTTCTAATCTGTATTCTTGCATTCATGTACAACTGTCACGTACAAACACCCCTGGTACATTTGACACAGGGATGTAATTTTTGTAAGAGCATGAGATCAGAAATATCAGAAGTGCATTCAACATACTATATTCACAGAGATTTGTAACTTGAGTTTTCTCCTCTAATTTTCTGTACCTGTGAAATCTGCAAATATTATCTGCGTGCAATTCACACCTTGCATCCTTCTGTGAACTAGATCAAGATGCAGTCACCAACTGCTTACTTTAAAAAAATGGTAACGGAGATCAAAGCACTGTAATCTGGTCTCCAAGGAGCTAAGGATATTCACACATGAAGCAAGATCATGCAACATCATCTTTTTAAGTCTACGTAGAACAGCTGATAAAACAATCCTCCTTTCCTAACTGGGCTATACACGGTCTCTACATGTTTTCCATCGGCAGCCTGCAATCTCCCCACTGAGTTCACCAACACGGTTAAAAGCCACTTTCTCAGAAAGTGCATACAAAATACACCTTTCCTTTAAAAAAATGGAAAAAAGGATTTTAGTTCATCTTTGAGTAGTTTATATGTAAGTGAGAGTCAAGGGTATCTGTGGCCTTCCTGGGAAACATGTTCAACCGGAGAGGGTGGAAACATGTCAGGTCGTTTATTTTAAATATCTCACGTGCCTGGAAAGCAACTTCTGCAACCAGCATAACCCATACTGCTGACAAAGCTGATTTACACAGATTATGATGAAAGGATGTCTGATGGGATAAACCTTTACAGTAAAATACCCAAGCTGCCAATCTGTATCATTAAGCATAGTTCAACAAGCTCTGCGAGCAGCTACCTGGGACCAGAAAACAATAAAATTGTAATTCTTGCGGATTCAGCGCACGCTGGCACCGGCGCAGGCCTCTTGCCCCGCTGCCGTGGCACGCGTACAATGGCAACAGCGCCCAAGCCGGGGAGCTGGCCTCTGCGCTCACCCTTGTGTTTGGGGAACAGACGCTGCAGAAGAGCCAGAAGCAGCAGAAGAGCCGCGGCCGGGAGGCGGCGAAGGCAGGTCGGCTGGGAGCCAGGCTAAGCCCGCTGGCTTGCACAGTGGGACGCGCCACAGGTGACAGCAGCGCCTCAGGGACCGTACATTGCAAACAAGTCTTCCACGCGCCAGGTATCATGCGAGCACCGCTCAAACGCAGTAAACCATGATTGGTGGTTTGGGTTTTTTTTCCTTTTTTTGTTCCCCCTCCCTCTTTTTGTAAGTGCAAAAAGACAGCCTCTAACGCAACCGTTCTCCCCTTCCTTCCCCTTGTTCCCTGGTTTGAGTGTCAAGCCTCCGAGTTTAAAAAACAAAAGACATTCTGATCCTGGAAACAACAGCACTACTTGGGCTGCTCCGAGACTTCAGAAGCAAAAAGGGGGGAAAAAAAAAACCCCAAACCATAATCCTCTTAAAAGCCTGAATGTACTCACATTCTTCTCTTCCTTTCCCCCCTCACTGCAGAAATTCAGCTGCACTCACAAGTTATCGAGACCCTAAATTTGAAATTTGTTTTCCTTAATACAAGTATGGCTCCTGCAGCAATGGTGTTTACCAAATCATTCAGCATATTGAATCGGGGACACAAGGCAAGGAAAGGTGCTAGAAGAAATGTCAGCAGTCATTAATCATACCCATTGTTTGGCTTTTAATGTTGTTATCATTCTAAGACGTTTACTCCACTAGCCACAGGAAAAAACCAAACCAAACCAAAAAAAAAGTCACAAAAAATAAACAAACCCAAACCCCACATCTTTGCATCTGGGAAAAAAATCAGAAAAGGAAAGAAAACGACTGCTTCCAGCGCCCAAGCCCTTAGCTGAGCTGGCCCCTGCCACAGGCTGCCTCCAAGGCCCATGCACGCCTTTTCAGAAGGCAGAAAGCGAACGCTGGCTCTCTTGGAGTAAAGCCTTTACACTGCAGGCTGCCATTTCCAGCAGAGGAGTGACCGGACTCTCATACAGGTATAAAAGGGGTCAGAAACCTCCCTGCTGGAAGTGCAGCGGTGAGACGAGTCCCCAGCGCTCCCAGGGCTGCTTTTCCACCCCCTGCACCCAGCGCACGCTGGCGGCGGGGGACGGAGGGATGGGGAGAAGTAGGTGGAACAGGTTATGACCATCATCAGGCTGCCCCGCGGTGACCAAGCATCAGTCCAGCGGTTACTCTCACTTGCGCTGCTGTGGTGAAAATAAATGATTTTGCAAGCTCCAGTTTTGGAGATGGGTTTCCCCCCTCTTAACAATGGCGAGAAACTCTCCCAGCAGGTCCATGCGAGAGAGACACGGCGCAGGGAACTGCGCAGCGGGGGCAAGGGGGGGAAGCGAGCTGTGGTGGTGACCTAAGACTGAAACAGAGACAGAAACGTAAAGGATTGACCCCTGACACGCCACAGTGTAACAAAGGACTGTTTCATTGCTATACAGTCGTAATATATAAATGATAAATTGCCATTGCCTGCAGAGCGCTTCCTTGGACACGGCGAGTGCAATGCCAAGGAATTCACCATCAAGCAACGCAGTTTCTTTAAGGACTTAGTTCAACCCAAATGTCTACGAGAGCTATTAATGTGCTGAAGCGTGGGTGCTGCTCCACAAGATGGGGTCATTAACCAAATAATGCGACTGTAATTTATTTTTGTTATTGTGATTTCTGCTTTCTTTCTGGCATTGTTATGTTCTTAGGAACTAATATATTACTCAGACAGGAAGATTATTCACTTTTATATTTTACTTTATGAATATTTCTGTATTTTGTTGTTGACGTGGGAAAAATACTGTGCCTTATGGTCCTTGCACTATGTGAATTTGTTGCCAGTATTAAAGCCATTTTAATTTATACTTTATGAATACATACACACCTGGGAATACTTGATAACAAGCATGAGAGAAGATAAATTCGCACTCGCTAATGGATTAATTTATTAGTGCTTCACATAGAACATGCAGCCTTATGTCTGGATTGTGGTTTGCTGGGGCTTTTTTCTTAGTCATATTAAGATGGAGATTTTTCCCCAGTTAAAGACAGGTTTCATTATCCCAGGTACATTCTTAGCTACACCATGAATAGAAATATAAACTCAACATGTAAATCTCACTGATTTATAGAAGAAAAATCGTGGACGTGAAAATACTCATTGCAGATGACTACTGACATTTTAATCTG